ACCAAGGACTCAAAGAGGAGGTAGAGAAGCTGTGGAGGGTGAAGGCAACAGTGGTCCCCGTGGTAATTAGAGCACTCGGGGAGGTGACCCCAAACTTTGCGAGCAGCTCCAACAACTAGCAGATTCCAGAAACAACATCCAAGATCTCTGTCCAGAAGTTTGCAGTCATAGGAACACCAAAGATACTGCACAGGACCGTTAACCTCCATGCCGCTGGTAGAGGAGCCGAGCTTGAAGGGGATATATTTATATATTTTATAACTCAATTACTTCTACTTGCAAAGATTGCAGTGCCTCTTTTGCTCGAGTGTATTTGAATGCTCAAAAGGCTAATGACCCCTGTTGGATATGAGCAGCCAAATTGAAGTGTCAGAAAATGATTTTGAGCTTAAATATGAGCCAAAAACAAAGAATGTCATTTGGCAGGAACATTTAATTGGACATTTTGAACAGAGTAGTGTTTGCAAAGGACATAAAGTACTGTGCTCAAAGCATTACACCATAAATTAGAGGTTATTGCAAGGTTGCAAGTCAGCTGATTTTGACTTTGCTGGGTTCCAACTGTGTGTTAAACAGTCTTGATGCACATTAAAAGGTAGGGTATTTTGGTTTAACAGTCCAGTCCATGATGGTGAACATGAAAGAATTAATTACAATAATTTCTTCATAGCTTACAGTATTTTAAAACTGTATGATTACTTTCTGACATTTTATTTAAAGGTTATTGTTTGTTTGGGAAAATTGTCCTCTCAGTTATCTTAAAGTCCTGCGAAATGTGAAACTGTGCTCTATTTTTGGGGCTGTATTCTGAAGTCAGATTCATTAAGTGACCAATTCTGACGGAGAACGAACAAATGTCTTCCGTTTATACGGCATATTGTAGCAATTAAGTTGTAAAAGTCCCCGCATCCGTAGAGGTATATCTGAATCTGCACTGCAGCCACTTCAACAACTTCTAATTTAAATCGATTTTAATTTGCTTTGTATTCCCTTTTGTCACTCAGTCGTGCATTAAATAGATCTCAAGTCACTGAATTGCGCAGGGGTTTTCTTTTCATTGGTAAATCAATCAAGAGAACAATTGATCATATATTTAACTTATTATCTAATGCTTCCTGCCTCTGTGTCTTTGTCCCTTGCCACATGAACTGATGAAGTGAAAAGCCGTGTAATGTAATGTGGTGTAGCTGTAGCAGACAGTAAGGGCTTTCTATAATACAATAGGCTGACAAATGACAAGGCTGCAGACATGATGAACCACTTTGAAACTCAGATATATGGTTTAAAAGTAATAGAACACCGTTGCTTCAAATCAAAGCACATTGAATACAGTTTATGGTGTAACACAGTGAATAAGCATGAAAACATCATTAGATAAAATCAGAACATTCTTCACAGTGACACAGCTTTGCACTTTTCAGAGAAACACTTTGTATTTGCAACGCCAAATATGTTGGAATGTATGTGGTATATGGGTTGGGGTTTTTTTTATATGAAAGACTCAAAAGGAAGACCAAATGACTAATATGCAGAAAAAAGATACAATTTGCTCAGGGAATGTGGATTATACTCTGACATTAAGAGGAGCAAATTAAAACAGCTGAAAGTTATGTTGCAGGACATTATGATACAGTCACACTAGTGAAGACAGTGATTGGAGAACATTATTTCGACTTTATGCAATGAACTTGCAATCTCACTGCCTTTGAAATGGTTGCTTTGAGGACGGCACTTACACTCAGTTGCTGTCTGTCATGATGATAAAATGGTCAGTCTGCTATCAGATGGCACTTGAATAACAAATATGTTGCTGTCTACATACACAGACATTCACGTTAACTAATTATATCAGCACAGATGGACTCAGATTGATTGCTACATGTTTGCAATCTTTATGCATGTGTATACAGTGGTCCCTCGCTATAATGCGGTTCACCTTTCGCAGCCTCGCTGTTTCGCGGATTTTTTTGAGTGCAATTTTGCTTTTTTTAATTTTTTTTTTTTCACAGCGCATTGTGTTCTGCATCCTAATTGGCTGTAGACCATTGTCAATCAATCTCCTCCATGCCGTGTCTCCTGTACAGTACAGAATGCGTTCACCTTGTAAAATTTACATAAATCTTCGATCGCTAGCAGTGTGACTCTGAAGTGCTGCACTGTATATTTGTAAGTTTTCTCCCCAACAAACACTACAATGTCGACGAAACGTTTTGCACCGTCAGAGGCACCCGTGGGTGCTTTTGGTTTCATTCTATAATACTAAACTTGTTTTTCTACAAAGGTTTGAACTTTGAGAGTGTTTAAACAGGAGAGAAAGTGTGAAAATGTTCATGCCTGTCTTATAAAAGTGTATAGTGAGGGGTTTTACAGCCTTAAAACATCTATAATAATTGTAAAAAATAAAGTTGGCTACTTCGCCGATTTCACCTATCGCAGGTTATTTTTAGAACGTAACTCCCACAATAACCACTGTATTGGACAGTGATTATTATTTGCAAACCTTCAACTGCAAATTGACTTTTCTTAGAGTGACTGTTGTCAGTCCAAATCAGACTGCCACTGTTTGGAGATAGATTGGCTCCCGTTGGCCAATCTGTGTAGTTACCATGTGATCGAATAAGGTTGGTGGTGTTGCACCTTAAACTGCAGGTGACCAGTTGGTCACCAGAGCTACTTGTAATCCGTTTCTAACAGATTCAACGCAGTCACCAGTTTTTCATAGTTGCATGGAGTCAGCCATCCTGCTTTTACTTTAGGGTGATGGAGCCATTAGAAACATGGCAAGATAGGCCAGCATGAGACCTTTTGGACTGTATAGCCAGAAATCCTCTGGTCTTCTGAGAAATGTAGAAATAATGATATATCCTGATGCAATTTTTTATTATTTGCATCAGGATATATCATTATTACACTGACAAAGACTGCACACTGGTCAATTTAAATGTATGTAAACGTGAAATAAATACATGTTAATTTAGCAAAGAACTCGGTGTCTTCAATCATTTGTGTAGGAAATGTATCAAAATTTGGTTGTGGTTACTACAAATACCCAGCATAACTTCTACACAATCGCTTTTACAGTACAAGGATTTTTTTTCTTCTTTCTTCTTCAAGATCTTGACCAACACAACCTGGTTTTGTGACATATACTGTTGTTTATGTTTTCAGGTTGCTCATTCAAGCCAAGCTGCTGCAAAGCTCAAAAGTCTCTGGAGTTTATTCCGATAAACCTGCACACCCAGAGGATGAGGGTGACATGCCCCAAAAAAACAGGTACTGCACCTCTGACTTGGACTTGTTTTAGATTCATCATTGCATGTATTGTCTTCAGACGTCCTTTCAAGAGCAATTAGGTTTTGTGTGGAGAACAGTTTCATTCTAAGTGGTTCTCAGCTCAAGCTGTGCACAACGTAACTCAAACACGGTATGGAAACATTGTCACCTACTGTGCTTGACTTCTCCATCTGTCTGAGACACTCAGGGGGCTCAGACAGGGAGGTTCTAGGTCATCATCCAGGCTGAAAGGTGAGAATTAACTTGGCCTAAAAAAAAACAGACAAAACACTAATTAAGCCCTTTGCGTTTTTGTGGAGTGAAGACTAGGCTGTCTCTTCCACTGCTGCTCGTTGTGGCAGAGGCTGTTTTTGCCCTGGAACTGTCCTCAGCATATTAAGGCAACTAACTACTCCTGATGATCTGTGAATGGGCTCCAGTGCAACTAAACAACAGATGATTGATGGAAAGTTGAAGACAGGAACGGAAATACATATCAGTCTTTCTTAAGGCTTCTGATAGGACAAATAAAAATAGTCAAACAGAGACATTATACAGTTCTGCGACTTTTATCTAAAATATTAATATAAACTTTAGAGACACTATTAATTCCTTCTGTTGGCCAATTCACACCAGACAGAGATGCGCAGCTTAAGGTAATGCAGAGTATACACAGCTTCCACTGGTGTCACAATGTAATAAGTAATGTTGATCCGCGGTGCAAAAGTCTCAATCCATCCATCATTTCTTTATATTTTGCTTTCAAGAAGCCAGACTTTCTTGTAATTGTAGATTTGCGTATGATAAGCATCTAACTCTGACATATGAATCAAAAAATGAGGCATCTAACTGATGAACAGACAACTTGGCACTCCTAACAGCCTGCTGTAAAACACATCATTTAATTAATTTCTTGAGACTTATTTCATGGCAAACATAACGTGGTTTGACAGATCTAAAGTATCATTTTTGAGACAACAAAGGATTCTCAAATAACTATTACACAAAAACCTGGGATGGCTCAGCGTGGTGTGCAGTGGTGTCCTTAAAAAAGTTGAGGAAATGGAAAAGTGGAGGGCAAAAGAAGATGTGACCGTTTAAAAGATTATCTACAGCAGATTAACAGTATCTGAAAGTCATGTCCTTAAGAAAGGACAGGACATGACTGGGAAGAAATCCACCAAAGACCCAGATTTTACACAGGACCTGAGAGATGCACCTGCACATCAAGAAATGAGGGATGGTATTGTGAGTTTTACACAATAACACATTGGCTGAGAGATGTTTCACCAGTCGAATCGCTAGTCAAATCAGACTTTTTAAAGTGCTTTAAAGCACAAAAGTTATGGAAATGTGGCTTTCAGTACTTTGGTATGATTTTACAACTAATCCAAGATGGATGCAGTAAGCCAAGGAAACCATAAAAACGTAGCCTTCATCTTTCGTGATACTTTTAAGAAGCTCTATTTTACAGTATAGAGCTTCTACAGTATGTATCGATACAGCAACACGACTGGCTCATGGTTTCCAGTTCACTTGCTGATTGTCTCTAATTAGCTCAACATGTGCCAGCTTTCATGCATGTTCATCAGTGGTTATCTGATGTGAATGGTTAAGTGCAAAATTAAGACAGAGAGCCACTGATGAGAAGATTGTCTTTAAAAAATAGCCATCATTTCTGGGTATTAGGCTATCCTCGTGTTTTAATTTATTCTAGCAACCTTTATTGGATGTAAAATTCATTTTTTCCCTTCAAATTTACTTGCTTTGAAAAGGCAAAAGAAAAACCACAAGGAAAGAAAATGATTGCAATCAGAGAGGCACAGAAACAATGAAAACTGGTCCTTAATGCAACTGAGTTTCAGTTTCAACTACAGTGAAGAGCTCTATTTTTCCATTTGATTTTCTGAAGTGATGAAGTTTGGCTATGTAATTTACTCAACAATGCAAAACCATTAATTTTCATTTTGTCTCCCGATCGTTCAGCAAGAAAAGAAAATAGGGAGGAAAGCAACACTTCCAGCTCTAAACAGTATTCATTTGTTTTACTATGAGTGGCTGTCTTCTGCCTCTAAAATGACAACTATAGAATATTTCCAGCCTAAATGCACAGCTCGGCAAAGCTGAACTGAAAGCATTATTCAGCACTCATTTAGGTCGAGTAAAACAATGCTTTGTCATTGTTAAAAGGGACTGTTGAATGGGTTAAGCATGGATTATAACCAATCATCCTGACTGCCACAACCAGTTTACTCTTTCCAGAAAGCCACTGTCCTCTCAGTATAACAGCTTGCTCCGTTGTTGATTTATTGAGAAACGGTCGGTGTGTGAAAAAGAGCAAGCAAATCGAGCACAAATTGGTCATTGTGCTTGATGTTCTGAAACCCGCCATTGCTTTTCAGTATACTTCTGCTGGGGGGAGAACCAATTAAGGGAACTTGGATATCTGAAAACTCCAGGGCCAGACATGTGGCAGTCAGGGAGTGTTATGGCCAGGCACCTCAATAATTAATGGAAGAAACAGTGGGTAGTAGCAAAGCCTCGACATCAAACCACTATTGGTCTACAGTGGTGTTGTCATTTACTTCTCTGTGGCAAGACTTGCAACTGTTGTGTCATTAATTTGTGTTTTCAGCCTCTTTTTTTGGTTAGAATATTATTGTGGACTGTTGTTTTCTCATGGGCGTTCATTAACTGACCAAGCACTAAACCACACCAAAATATTCACACACCCCCCCCCCATACCCCCTTCTGTTTTTCCTGCTTTAATTGACAGTTTCAGCCATTACTCATTCAAATCAAGCCCTGTTCTAAGCACCTCTGTGCCGCCTAGCCGTCTGTGAAGTGTTTATTTACTTATGACCCCGGTGTGCAAATTGAAAAGAAATACTGTGACATTGGTTGTCCTTCCAGGTTAACGTGGGACCAGACCAAAATAAAGATGAAAAGATGGCAAGAAGTAGAGCCAAGCATACATAGAGATAATTAGAGGCTGACAGATATGAGATTTGAAAAAATGATTTCAATACCGATATTTGGTGACGAAAATCTGATATATTGTTTTTTCCTTTCACAGAACATAAATAGATCCTCTTAACGTTGGTTATGTGTCGTTATTTATGATTCCTTACTAAGGTAATATGACAGCGCTGTTTAAAAATTATTTTGCTTTATTGAAACTCACGTGATTACTTGTTGCCATTTGTTGCCAACATAGTTTAACAAACTGTTCAACTTCAACACTCATAACATGCTTGAAGGGTGTTTCTCCCATCTATTGTTTAATTGCTAATTTTTCATTTATTGGCCATTAGATATGGAGGTCGGCCCCTTATACAAAAAAATAAAGGAAGATATAGTAAGATGGAATTTAATTCCTTTCTTTAGTTTTAATTCAAGAATTGATTCTATTAAAATGAATGTATTGCCAAGATTTTGTATCTATTTCAAACCCTACCAATAGAGATTAACCAAAGTCAATTTAATGAGTGGGATAAAATGTTATCTAGATATATATGGCAAGGTAAAAGACCAAGGGTTCGCCTTAAAACACTACAGCTGGCTAAGCAAAAGGGAGGATGGGGCCTCCCTGACCTCAGATATTATTATTTTGCAGCGCAGATGAGAGCAATAATATGCTGGTGTAACCAATCATATACTGCCCAATGGAAAACCATTGAGGAACAAATGCTGTCTATACCTATTCAGGCAACTCTAGCTGACAATAACTTACAAACCTATATAAAAAATACTGATAACATGTGGGTGAAAAGGACCCTTAAAACATGGAGAACTATTACAAAGGAATATAAACTCGAGACCAATATTACAGTTCTTAAATGGTGTGCTTACGACTCAGAGTTCAAACCTAATGAACTGGATTCTAGATTCAAGGACTGGACAGGTAAGGGCATAACAGCCCTGTGCAGTATAATGAAGGATGGAAAATTGTTCAGCTTTGACATGCTTAGAAAAACATTTTCATTAGAAAAAGAAGACTTCTATCGATATCTGCAGTTAAGGCACTATGCCGACACGAAGATGAGAAACGTAACAATGATAAACACACGCTTGATGGAACTGTTTATAAAAAGCTATAACTCAGAAACTATTGATAGAATTGTATCATGTCTCTATAAGGGTCTAATGGAGTTGAAACCACATTCGACTTCATATATTAGAACAAAATGGGAGAAGGAAGGAGGATAAAAATATTAGAGGAAGAATGGACGGCAATATGGAGATATCAGTGGATGTGTACCAGCTCACAAAAGTGGAGGGAATTTGGCTGGAAGTGCCTAATTAGATACTTTATAACACCTTCTCAGAAGTCTCATTATGATGATAACCCCCTGCTTGTTGGAGGAACTGTGGAAATCAAAGTGCAAATCATTACCATATTTTCTGGGACTGCTCAATCTTGAGGGATTATTGGAGAGAAATACATAATGCCTTACAGGATATCTTTAAATGTGAAATATCTCTCGAGAGTAAGACTATGTTCTTTGGATATATACCTCAGGAATGGCCTAAATATGATAAACATTTAATAAATATTTTATTGGTGGCCTGTAAAAAGAATATCACCAGAAAATGGTTATCCCCAGAGAGCCCAAACATAAGTACATGGATGGAAATCACAATGGAAATTTATAACATGGAAAAGATAACAGCTTCTGTTAACCACAAGCTGGAGAAATTTACATCATATTGGGAAAACTGGGTTAAATATATCACGCCTCATAGGCCAGATTTTACTATTACAAACCAATAATTATGATGTATGTATATATATTTATAGGATCACCCCATACCAACACATCCGTGTTTTTTTTTTTTTTTTTTTTTTTTTTTCTCTTTTCTTAGGTTTGTTAGTTTTGTTTTTTGATTTCGGATTATGTGATGGTTTCAATTACTTCTATCGTTGTAAGTATTCTTCCCTTATGACTTGGATGTAAATTAAAATACTATTTCAGTATTTAAGGCAGATAACCTAAGTATGAAGAATGCTTACATGATGTACATACTGTGAATGCCTGCTTTTGAAACCTTAATAAAAATATGAATTTAAAAAAAAAAAAAAAAGATATGGAGGTCGGCATATTTACATTTTTTTTTTCATATTTTAATTTGAGCTGAAGCCGGAAGACAGCCGACATTAGTCATTCCTCATGTCTGTGTGTCTTGAAATTACTCTTATTAGCAGCATTTCCATCATTTCCGTGAAAAATCCTACTTGAAATTATATTAATATGTAATTTACTTTGACAGGATTCATTCATGTTCTCAGTTTTCTCAATTCGGGGTCCTCCAGTAACTCCAGTTTTGCAGGTTCTGCCTTTAAAAAAAAAAAATCTGTATCTAAAATGCTGTGAACTCAATTTTCTCTCTCTTTACAGATGCGTTTTACGACATCGTCACTGTTGGTGCCCCAGCTGCCCACTTCCAGGGCTTTAAAGGTGGTGGTCTCCAGCGACTCCTGAGCAGATATGAAGCAGAGAAAAAGAGGTACAAAATAAATGTTTACACCATGAAGGCATAGGTACCTGAGTGATTTAATCCAGGCCCATGTTGGAGGAACTGGCTTTTATTGACAAAAGAATCTAACTTGGTCATAATTAATACTGGCAAACAAATGTGTCCCTGGCCCACAGACTTTATTTTCGGAGCCCCATACAGTTACTTACAGCCAAGCTATTGCTGAAATTAGACTGGGACTCTACTGCCTCTGACAGCTCTATTTGACTCGAGGCAACAGGCGTGATGGAAAGGGTTTGTTGAGTCAGAACTTCCTCTGCACCTGTTCTTTTTCCTGGCAAGCATTTTCTTCTTCCTAAATATGTTCGTGAACATTGAAGAGCCGCTTTTTTTCTACAACTTCCCAGCTGCCAGCTGCAGCTCGCACTCGAGTTTTAAGGTTTCAAGAAAGGGGGAAATTGTCAGCTGAGTTTATGAGCAGCGATAAAACTGGTACTACACAACGATGTTTGGAGTGCACATGGACACCAGTTGTCAGATGGGTCTGCAGTTAGTCTGCAATAATCCAGCCATTGTGATGACCTCTAATTTTTCTCATAGAACCAAGTCCTTCTTCTAAAACAATATGAATTCTTAAAAAAATATTTGCTTGGAGTATAAACTCTTTCTAATATACTGCTCTTTCTCAAATCAGTGTTCAACCTAGAAACATTTTTAGTGCCTTTCATTGACAAACAGGGAGATTTTTATATTTTTATGTTTTATTAAGTTCGGTATTTGGCTGTGAAGCATCTCTCTGCTTCATGGCTGGATGGGTTAAATGTGTCTTGTTTGCTTTCTTCACTGACCATCACTGCTAGATCTTCAAATCCTGTCATGGTGCTGGGTCTGTGATCCAACGTTTGTGTTTGAATCTTTGAGTTTTGTTAATTCACGATTGTTTTTGATTTTCAAAAATTGTTAATTAGTTCCCTTTACTGTCCCCTCCCTGTTCCCTTAGTCTCATCTCAGGGCTCAACTCAAGTCTTCTGTGTTCAGTTACTCTCATTTTCATGTTGTTTATCTTTTTATCTCTCAGTCCTTTTCTCATTGTTTCCTGTTTTATTTTGGTAATCTCTTATCCTGCGTGCTTAGTGTTTAGTTTTTGCTTTACTCAGTCTCATTTCCTTGAAAAGTTTCAGCTGCGTTCCCTGGTGTTTTCACTTCCCCTGATCACCCTCCTGTGTATTCATTGTTGCTATCTCCCCTAGTCCTTTGTCTGAGTGTCTGTTCTTCAATCCCTTGTGTCTCCCAGCTTTAGTTCAGCAGTGTTGGGACTAACACGTTATTAAGTAACACGTTACAGTAACTACGTTGTTATTGTGGTAACGAGCACGGTAACTAGTTATTATGCCAGGAACGCGTTAGTCGTTACTGGGATTTAGATAGGGTCGTTACTCGTTACTTCGTGTGGTGGCTATCGCGGAGCTTCCACAGATTCAGTAACATTAGCAAGTGGTAGAGGCCAGCAGGTGGATGAGAGAAAACGGACACAGAAGGAGGAGAGACCCGAGGCGGCCGCCGGTCCAAGTGTGAACTGAACTTCAGGTAAGAAGTTATGACCTGCAGTCTCTCTGGGTCAGATATAAACCAAGTTTAGGTGGAGTTTATTTTCGTTATTCTGACTTTTTCCATACTGCCTACTAGCTAGCATGACAGAGTTTCTATACAGCTGGGTGGGTGCTATGATGTTAATGATGTTGAACTTTATTTTGTTCATAAGGTTAATTATTAGAGTTGCCAACCGTCCAGTAAAAAACAGAATCGTCTCGTATTCAGAGAAAATATTACAGGTTTCATATTGAGGTGCAAAGGAACACAGTTTGTCCGGTACTTCAGCTACAATGAAAAAGACACAAAGCTGGATTTATTCTGTCATGACGCTGCAGCTGCCTCTTCTCCTCTCATTCTCTCCCCCCTCCCTCTCCTGTTTCTACTTCAATCATGAAACTGATCAATGATCAGCTGATTGGCTTTTCTCTCTTGTTTGTTTATCGCCCACTTTGCGCCAGAAAGAGGAAACCAGGAAATGTTGCGTTAAACAACAGCAGCACGTTTAAGCTTGATCAGCTGTTGTTAGAATTTATTTAATATTAATTTCTAGTATCAGCTGATGTTTGCTGGAGCCACAGAATCAGAATCAGAAACTTTATTGTCATTGTCATGAGAACAACGAAATTAAGAATGGTCCCCGATCATTGCATCATCCCTAGCAATATCAAAATATAAATAAAACAATAAAATTCAATAAATAAAATAGATAGAATACTTAAAACACTTTACACAGCTGTAAAGCTGCTGGTCATGATATGGTTTGGATATGTGGTGAGAGGGAAACGTGAAGATGAAACCAGGAGATGTCCTTACTGAATCATCAGAGCTGTGATGGGGAAACAGGTTTACCTTTTGTCATGAATGAGTTGAAGGGAAGTTATGAACTGTTTCTGAGAGACAAATAAGACCAGGATCCTTTTTTAGGTAGCTGACAGCTGGTAACTGTGCAGGGGCGGATCTAGCAAAGTTTTGCCAGGGGGCCATGTAGGGCATTAACAGGGAGAGGGGGGCACAAAGAAATACTTTTCTTTCTTATTCTCATTTAAAATGTCTAGCTTTTATTAAATAATTATCTGAATCTTACAACAAACGATTGATAGATTGATACATATATACCATCAAAACAGTGTACATCACTGTCACAACAGTGTTTATTTTCATTCAAAGGCTTTATGATTTTTCCTATAATGGCAGGCTGGTCTCTAGTCAAAATGCCCGGGCTGATTTTTTGTCCCAGTCCAGCCCTGTATGCAGCTCATCTGCAGTCTGGTGTTACCTACATCTTCCTATTCGGAAGGCAGAAGTTCTGAGTACAATCGAAAGCACCACGACTGCAGTTTTTGTGTTGGATGTAAAAAGCGCACATGACTCTGTGACGTAGGCTAGAACCATGGCAGCGGTCAATGATGGTCCAGGCATGGGATTTCTCTCGTGGAAATATGCACATTATTTTTTTTTCTATTGGTAGGTGGCACAGTGCACTTGTGGCAAGTAAGCAAGCTAGAAGACTGACAAAGTTATGGAAGCAACACATTAACAAGAGAATTCTGAGTAAAACCAAAGTTACTTTCCCTAGTAACTTTGAAAGTAACGAGTAACTTGAAGTAACTGAGTTACTTTTGATAGAAGTAACTAGTAATGTAACTAAGTTACTAATTTAAAGTAACTTACTCAACACTGATGTTCAGTAAGTGGAAGATTTCAGTTTTCCTTCTTATTCAGTTTTGTTTTGTACACTGATCATCAGCTTCGATAAATTCTCGAGTTTCCTGTTTAACTATGCCTGAGAACCCAAAAGCAGAATCTGCTTTTGGGTTCTCACTTTCAACATTTGACAAATGACGTTGATAATGGTATTATGCACACACATACATATATAAAACTGAAAATGCCCTCAGGGGCCAACACATGCATATGAGTCTCTCAAACCCGAGATCAGCAGTATCCTGTAAATGTTGCTGTCTTTGCCTTTTGGATGCAGGATGGAGCTATATGTCACTGAGGTTCAGTATGTGGTCACTTGAGTGATGCCAGATGAAATGAAGGGTGATTTTTCCCATAGCTCCCCATAGAGTGCAAAGTCATTACAGACCATGCCAGATCCAATTAGTTACAGAGTTTGCAGCTCAAGAAAAGGGGGAGAAGCAAGATTGAGAGGGCTGAGGTATGGGTATAAAATGGATAAGCTGAAGGGAAAATAGTCGCGGCCCTGTGCTGATAATAAAAAATAAAGAAAGGGCTTTTTTTACGGTAAAATGCACAAGTGAATTTGCTGAAGATGGTCAGTTTTATCTGCTAGCATGAACAATGATAATGTTAGCATATTTTCGAGAATCCACTGAAGTGAAATCATTCACTTTGAATGAGAGATTAGACTTCAGAAATAATTCTCTGGGGAGAAACAGCTTTTTGTTTCATATTTGCCTTAGCTAATGACTCACTGTAGCTTAAATTTTCCAATTTTCCGCCTGGCTACCCGACTACGGCCTGCACTCAGCCTGCATGTTTGACCTGGAATGTAGTGATTTGTCAGTAAAAACAGGAATAAACTCAAATTCTCCAAGTATTCACTCAGGCCATTATAACGGACGTGCACGCTTACTAAATGGCTGAAGGACAGGAAAGACACTCATTATTTTATTGTTCGGTTTGCCTTTATTGTGCACACACCAAACATCAGACCAACTATTTAGCCTAAAAGGACCTGATGAGGCTTTTTGTGTGTGTTAATGCGAAGTACTGTTGCTGTTTCTAAGCAAGAGTCCCTTAATTGCACTGTAAGTCAAGCCTATTTCAGCAGAGCAAAGATTCATGTGCACACACACACTCGCGCACGTGTTCATTATACTTCTTCCAGTATGCCTCCTCGGCTTTCAGAGGCAGCCTTTTGTAATCACATTTGATTAAAAAGGGAACAATCGGCGAGATGTGAGACTTGGCTATTCAATGTGATATTAATTCATCAAAGAGAAGATGGAAAAGGATTGAGAAAGGAAAAAAGGAAAACCTGAGCACAGAGGTGTTACCAGGAGGGCAATAAAAGAGCTATTTGTCTTTGTTCCCTGGACACTAGAAGAGAGAGACGGGGGGCTCTTTCCAGATCCATTAAAAACCTGCACTCGCCAAACTTGGCATTGGTCAGAGTACGCAATGTAGTTTGTCTCTCAGGATGGGCCAGGAAAGAGTTTAATCAATAGCTACACTTAGTATTCCTCAAGGAATTTTGCACATGTACACACAGAGCAAAAGCATTTATCTTTCATTAATGCGTGCAGTCCCATTTAAATGTCTGTTTTAAAAGTCACTGGGTTATCATCCGTTTTTAATTGAACCCTGTAGACACTGGTTTTGGATTTTACATTACCAATTATTCATCTAATCTGAATAATGATGCATTTTTCTCTGCATTTTTTGGAGACAGATTCAGAATCCAAACA